CAGGTTTCCAAGGATTCCATTGGTACTGATAAGGTTGACAGAGATCGGAAGCACTGTGGGCTTGGAGGAAGTTACAGAGACGGAGGCAGCGTTGGAGAGCGGGAGGTAATTACGTGGGCAAGGCAGTGACATAGCAGCCGGATGAAACTCAAGGGGTTTGTGGCCCTGGAGGAGGCTTTTAAGAGAAGATTCGGCCAAACATCACCAGAGTCCTACCAGACCATCAGTGTGCCACCTCACTGGAGAGAGATGACTGGATTAACCCAAGGGTTACAAGCGGAGAGCTTAAGAAGGAGCGCAGTTCAGGGTAATGTCAGTCAGTGCGGGCATGGAACCCCCAATATCGGTGTCTCTCTGCACCACAAACCAGCCAATCCAGCTCACCAACCTCCATGTGTATCATATATATTCTGTGTGTGGGTATATAGACACATATAGGTATCATTTTCTTCCTTTGGATTCTGATGTAGTGGCATATGGGTGTTGGTTACTCTTTGGAAGGATTTTAATTTAAAAATAAGTAGGTCAGACCACCCTTCTGGACATAACGCAGTCAGTGAGCCAGGAATCCCTAGAGAGTTATCGGAAAGTTGTTTCTGCTGGAGAGGATCGAGACAGAGCGTGCTGTAGGGCCGGAGGAGTTCAGAGAGAGAGAGGTGCGCTAAGTGGGTCTCGGGTCTTGCAGACTCACCACATATTGAGGGCTCCAGTAACACCCGGTGATCCAATCGCGGTGGCAGGAGAGCAGAGAGTCCGAGATCTGGCCTGGCAAAGCCGCCACGTCCCAGAACAGGAGGCTCTGCAGGCAAGAAAGACAGCTCAACGTCAAACACTGACCGCGGCGCTCCCACCGTCTGTTCTCCCCCCTCCCGACTATCGCCACCTCCCCGCGGAAAGGCGGGGAATCACCCTCCAACCCCTCGACCCCGTGACAGAGGCTGCGCTGCTTTGTTTTTCTCGGTCTCTCTCGAGTTTCTCTCCAGTTAGCGAGCTGTTGAATGTTCTGAGAAAACAAAATCTCGGGTCTGTACGAAAGAAGTAAATCTTTCTGGAAATCCCCGTTGGCCGGATTCACGCGCTGGGGACAGGGCCGCGGAAGCGAGTGGGCTATTCGACTGCTGAAGCAGCACCCCCGAGCCCTCGATCTACCCTGTCCGTTCCACCTTCCCCAAAGCCCCTCCTCCTCTGCTCTGTGGGGAAGAGAGATCAGAAGGCGGGAGGGTATGGGGTAGGGAGGGAAGGGAGCAACGCGCGGCCAATCTCCCCCACCCCCCAACTCCCGGTCGCAGCCTCACCCACCTTGTCCTTGCTGCCGGTGACGAGGTGGAGCCCGTCGGGGCTGAAGGAGCAGCAGGTGACCGAGTCCGAGTGGCCCCTCAGAACGCAGGCCGGGGACACCTCCGCGCAGTCCCCCAGGTCGACCAGCTGGGCCAGCGTCCACAGCAGGATGGTGGAATCGTCTAGGCAAGAGGGAGGAGACGGGATCAGGTCAGGGACAGGCAGGCTGGCGAGGGGGGTTGGGGGAGAGACCGGAGCGGTCGAGGGCTCATTTGTACACCCGTCAGGACCAATGCAAGAGTGCCAAAATCAAACCCCGCCCCACCCCGGCAACTCAACTCCAATTGGCCGAGGCATCTGTCGCTACGGAGAAAGCGGGCAACGAGAGGCACCCAAACGAGTTGCGGAAACAAAGGCCCATGGGAAAAGAAACACAGGGACAACAAAAATTGGAGCGAGAGTAGGCCATTCGGCCCTTCGAGGGAGCTCCACTATTCAATACGATCATCCAACTTGGTTCTCGCTTTCACCCCCCCCCCCCCGCCCCCCCCCCCCCCATACCCCTCGAGGCCTTTAGCCCGAAGACGACCTAAAGGAATCCGGTTGGTCTGAAGACACATTAAGGACAGCGGATCTCGGCCCCTCCTTGGGGAATTCGTGGCCCCCCCCCAACAGTTTTGTACAGCGATCGATCGTAACTGTCGCCATGGCGACAACAAACCCTTCACTGATTGATTGCTCGCTTCATTCAAATTGAAATCTGATTCGATCCCACCGCCATTCCCCTCCCTTCTCTTCGGCTTGGAGCTCCGCGCCAGAGCTAAGAAGTTGAAATAGCCGCTTGTTTTACAGGGGGAGAGAACCAAAGGCAGGACCATCAGCTCTGGGGAACTGGCCTGGAGAGAAAATACAACCCTCGTTCCTCTTCCAAGGGCACCGTATCCAACCCAGCAGTGAGACGTTTGCTGTGCTCAGAGGTTGAAGCTGGTTGGATGCTGAACCAGCCAACCAGGGGTGGCCCAGCACTGATCGGCCAAGGGCAGGGAACATTAATTGAAAGGAGAGGGTTCTGGGTTCTGACTTGGTTTCAGCAGCTGGAGGAGTGATTTTTTTTTTTTTAAAACCAACTTCGGAGACTGCGCCACTCTGTTTCCCCCTCTCTCTCCAGTTATCGAGCTGTCGAATGCCCTGAGCAAAAGATCCCAGTCTATTCGAAAGAAGTAGATGTTTCTGGAAGTCTGCTGTTCGCACGAACCAGAACTCAAGCAAGGTATTCAGGTCTGGGTGCCTGTGAACAACCCATTGTCTAAGGATTTCATGAGCGATTGGCGTCAATTATTTGAAACGGTTTACTGAACCGGCAAATTAAATTTCCCTGCCTTTATTTTCAATTTATCCTTGAACTGTGTCTTTCTACCTGGGAGTGGGGAGGGGTCA